TTAATAAATTTATTAATATATTCCACTAACTTTTTTTAATTTAAATTTAATTTGTGCCAAAGCATACATTTTTTAAACTAAAAAAAAAATTATGAAATGGGTTCTACATAAATTTATGAAAATCTAAATTATGATTATAGTTTTTCTAAAAGAATGAGATTAAGATTTGGTGTAGCACTCAAAAGACAAAAATAACATTTAATTTAATATGTAAAGAACTTTTGGATAATAATAATAATAATAATAAGAGCAATAATAAAGGTTCCAAAGGTGGTGGAGTCAGGTTCTTCCAACTTAATCCATTTGTGTCAATATCCATACCATTTAAAACAACTTTCATCAAATAAATTATTCCAATGCTCTTTTCTATTTAATTTCTCTCTTTTAAAACTAAAATACCAATATTTTGATTCAATTTATAAATTAGATAAAGTTTTTTGGTACAATTTAATTCTAAATCTACTTTATTCTAATAAATTATTATTTCCGTTTTTATTTTATTGTTTTATTACTTAAAAACCCTCCCCCTAATACCTATATTTAAAAAAAAAATTAATAAACTTTATAAGCTATAATTAATATATCACGAATTTAAGTTCAAACTTAGACATGATAAGCTCGACCTCTTAATTTTGTATTATGAATTAAAATAATATGTTTAGAAGAAATTAGCAATGAATTTGGAGATTCCAATGGGACAATTTGTTTTGTTTGTATTCACATCTTCTTCCATTGCCGTCAAATTATTAAACTTTTAAAAAAACATTTGACATTTGACAACATTATTATTTACGAACCAAATAATTAAAAGTGGAAAAAAGAAAACTTTGGTTTAAAGATATTGATCGGTGATATGAAAGAAGATGCATGGGAGGATTGGGATCCAATAATTTAAGAGCAAAAGAGGATTGGAAAATTAGGCCCCAAAAACCCTAATTTTAAGGGGGGGGGGGACCCTTCAAAGATTCCTAGCCTTCCCCACATCAAATGTCTACTTACTGCCAATTATTGAACCTTTCTTTTATGTATTCGTTACATATGGTGTATTTATATTGTATAACCTAAGCTTCCTTCCACATTATTATATTCGAATAAGTGGGTATCGTTTATTAAATATGTTTTGGTTACGAAAAGAGGGTTAGTGGAAACAAATCACAAATCCGATAATTTATTTTCATATCACATCAGTCGGATTTTAAAAGATTTCAACGCATAAATAAATAAGAAGCAAATATGAATTCCTCCAAACAAAACACGCTTAGCTATAAAGTCTCTTAGGTTAGGTTGTAGGGTACGAGATCTTCGTAGTAGGCTAGAGCAACATCCAGCTGAGTCGAAAGGGTCATGATGTAGTGGGATTGTTACGACCCGACCACCCAATCCAACAAGTCAAAGGCGGGTTGACCATAGGTTCGAATCTTGTTTCTATAATTGAGCCAATGAAAAGGAAGGTGCACCTTAAGACTACTCTTATTCAAATATGGTATCGATTCTTGTTTGTTTTTAGACAAAAATATAATATGTGATTGAAAAATTTAGAAAATGGAGAAAGATATATATAATAGGGTTTAAACCTAACCATTAGTATGATATATAATATAGTTAAAAGTATAACGTTGAGATTAGGTTGGATTAAATTTAGATTAGGGAAAGATAGATGGGTAATTAAACACCCAAATAATTAGGGATTAATGATGGATTTAGCAAAAAGACACACAAAATCCAAGATTAGGATTTCATGGGCTGTATCCATATCTTGGACACAAATCACAATCCAATTTACATATTTTTTTAATGTGGTGGAGTTGGAATTTCCTTTTCAATTTACATATTTATCCTTTCAACATTAAAAATGTTTTATTTATTTCTTCATGGTTCGATTTGATTTTGCTTTATTACCAGATTTCTTTGTATTAATGCGCTTATCCTGGATTACTATGCAAATTAACATCGTTAATTAATTAATTAACTAATCATAATGCCTCCCTTTTGTCCTCTTTCTTGATGCTTAATTATGTTAATTATGTTGCCCTACCACCATTAGGTTGTATTCTAACCTTTTTTTTCAAAAATTAAACCAAATTCAAATATTAATACCCTCAATAAATATCTTCATATCATGTATATACATATGTGTGATTTGATGATTATTCTTATTATAGGCTATTCACTTACACTCGTCTACACAAACTATTTAATGACTAATATGATTAACATGAAGATCTACCCACCTAATTTCATTCAAACAATACAAAATACACAATTTACATGTCTATTAAATCGCATTTGTGTGGCAGCAGGACAGTGATTGTGCGACATTTGTTCCAACCCAACGTATAAGTCAGTTATGAGAAATTCGGACTTTGCAGACAAAATTGACGTATACTCGAGCCTCGAGTCATGTTTGAGAGAGATATTTATTTGAGGAAATAAATAATGTTACGAACTAGAAGCAATTAGATGACAACAACGGATTTGATATCATATAATTCAAGTATGAAGTAGTGATGACTAATCATATCTCCTATAGTACATTTTGGGACATTTTAGTCATATCGGGTGTAAACATGATTTTGGTGAACGGTCATACACTCTCGTGTTGACACAACATGAAATAATAAAGGCCTATCTAAAATGAAAATATGTAAAATGGGTTTGGAACGAGCATGCAGCCATGGACAATACGTCTTAGACAAACATGAACGAAACATCTAACAAATGACCACAAACAACAAGCCTTGGATACATATTACCGTAACACCGGACACAAAGGTGGCATTAAGGTGAAGAAGGTTGTATGAAAATGTGATGAAGAGCGGGTAATTATATCAAAGCACTAGGGAGAATAAGATAATGGGGTTGTGGAGTAGAGAATATGATGTCACAGGGTCCCCTCCTTAGGCCACGGGTTTGTGTGGTAAGTGCTCCAAAAAGCTCGAATTTTTTCTTTTTTATTTTTTTAATTCTAACTTTTAGCTCACCATCAAATTTAAATAATTTAATTACCTTTCTTTCTACCAAAAACAAAATCCTCGATTAAAATGTATAAAACTAATAATAACAATATATTTTTTTTTCATTTTTTAATACTTCCAAGTAAATTAAACATGGCTTTATCTATATATTTATCATATTTCTTAATCTTTGTGGAAAATTTAGTATTTTGGAAAATAGTATATAAATATATATATTAAAAAAAAAAGATTATATAATTACAGAAAACACCTTCCCAATTTTGGATTATATCATGTGAAGCTTACTAAAGTGAAAAGATGAATGAAGGTGACTAGGGTTGTGACACATGCATGCCCACGTGACATGTTGCAATTAATAATTCCCTGTGACTTATTTTTCAATTTATACAATTTTTCTTTCTTCATTCAATAATACATCAAAATCAAAATCAACTTATTTTAGTTTAGATGGTTATAAATCTAATATCTTTCCTACCCTATGCGATAATTTTAAATTCTTAAATTACAAATAAATACATTATAACTCATAAATATATATATTTAGTCATTGCATTTTAATTAATTAGAAATATAAACTTATATTATAAGTTTTAGAAGTAAACTAAGGCTTTTTGTTACTATGAATTTTCATTATGATTACAATCCATATTTATTGTGAAAAAGTAAACACATTAATTATAGTTGACATGATTATTTATAATAAAATGTTGATATAATGATGGTTAAATTTAACAAAACTGTTATAAGAGATAAGTTGAATAAAACCAGACATTCAAATGAAATGATAGTGGGTTTAGTTTAAGGAATTCCATGAATCCAACCATGTGTGTGTTGAAGAGTGAAAGAAACTTCCTAATTTGCCAAATAAGAAATTTTAATTTAATTTAATTTATTTATGGGGATGACAACTAGTTCACTTCAATTAATTTCAAACCATGTGATTCGAGTCTTGTTCTGTTGGATAATAATAATAATAATAATAATAATAATAATAATAATAATAATAATAATAATAATAATAATAATACAACAAAAAAAGAAAATAACTAAAATTTAAAAGATGCCTTTTCGACGATTAATGATTAGCCAGCTGGCATTTTCCTTCTCCCCGTATCAGTCTTACGGAATCGAGGCCGTGGAATTGACCCTTCCAGCCGATCCGAACAACCCCTCACGTGCACTCCTTCTCTCTCCTCCCAACGTGTCACTCTACGACTTTTTCAACCCTTTTAAATTAATCGCCGACTCCTCCCTAACCAATCAACGCCTCAAAATTCTCAATCATTCCATTTATTTTCCTTTTTTTTTTTTTAAAATTTACGTGAAACTATTGTTACTCTACTAATTTCTTTAAATATCTATATTTCTTTTGTACTTACATGTACTTAGTCCTTAATATGTATGATTTCTTTAAGATTTTCATTTTTATTTTCTTCTGAAATTTTCATAAAAAATTTAATTATATATAACTATACCAAGGTTCACATTCTACAAAATAATTATTTATTTTCTAATTTTTAATGGTAAAATTATAAATTTGATTATTATGGTTTAAAGAAAATTTTTACTTCCAAAACGTCGTCGTTGCAACCAACATATACCCAACCAAAATTAAAGCTAGAAGCATTTTTTGAATATAAAATTAAAAAAAAAAAGTGGAAAAGGGAATGGCCATCTGTCACCTTTTCTAATTCCAATTCCACATCCAACTAAAAGCTATGAACCCAAAACGTTTGCGTATGAAACTTTTTTTTCTTTTCTATTTCTATATATATATATATATTAATAATTTGGAAGAAATTATTATTATTTTTGTCTAGATTTTATGTTATTTTAATTCAATGAGAAAAAAGTGAAGGGAAATTAGTAAAAAGTAGCAGAAAAAGAAAAAGAAAAAAAGAAAAAAAGAAATAGTAATAAATGAATGGAAGCTCCCAATTACCCATTTGAATAAAGAAACAAAGGCGTTCTGAAATGACAAATATGTTATCCACCCTCTCTCTCTCTCTCTCATGGGGCTTTATAAATTGCAGTCCAAACCCCATCCCCCGGCTTCCCTTATTAACAAACCCTTCTCTCTCTCTTTTTCAATCCCTCTGCCTTCTGAAGTTGACACATGAACCCCGGCGTGGCCTGCCATTTCTGACACTCTCCTCCATTCCCTCCAAATGCTCGATTCTTTCTACTACCTCGCCGGCTCCCCCGGCCCCTCCGGCTTCGGCTCCAAATCCACCGCCGAACAAGTCACCGCCTCCTCTCCTCTCCCCCTCCCTTCCCTCACCGCCATCATCACCGGTATTACTCTCCTCTCTTCTTTCCGTCTCACCCTTTTATTTATTTATTTATTTATTTATTTATTTGTTTGTTTGTTTTTCTCAGGCGCCACGTCTGGTATTGGAGCTGAGACGGCTCGGGTTCTAGCCAAACGTCGGGTTCGTCTCATCCTCCCCTCCCGGAACCTGAAAGCCGCCGAGGAAACCAAGGCGCGGATCCTCTCCGAATGCTCCGATTCCCAAATCATCGTTATGCCACTTGATTTGAGTTCTCTTTCTTCCGTTACAAACTTTGTTCATCAATTTCAATCTCTCAACCTTCCTCTAAACCTCCTCATGTAAATTTCCCTTTTCTTTCATCACTCTAATTATTCTCTTAACCATAACGCTGTTATTCATTTTAATTTTTTTTTTTTTAATTTTAGAAATAACGCTGGCAAATTCTCGCATGACCACGCAATTTCCGAGGACGGGATCGAAATGACCTTCGCCACTAATTATTTGGGTAATTTTTAAAAAATATAAATATTATGTATTTTGAAGTTTATTTATATTATGTGATAAATAATAATTATTATTTTGCTCAGGTCATTTTCTGTTGACGAAACTGTTGGTGAATACGATGGCGGAGACGGCGAAAGCGACGGGGGTTGAAGGGCGGATAGTGAACGTGTCGTCGAGTATTCACGGGTGGTTTTCCGGCGACATGATTAAATATCTGGGCCAGATAAGCCGGAACAAAAGGTGAGTTTCTTCAATGAAGGGGGGGGGGGGGGG